ATAAAAGTAGGGATATCGTTCTACGGCGTTTCCGCTCATAGTCACAGAAAAAAGTCTTTACGAATTTGATTATTCACTAGAAAAAACCGCTTTCAGACACTGTGCATGCTTTAGCAAAGGAGGAATTTCTGGGCTGGGACTTGGGGATTCTTTGCTAAGAGAAATCTGTGCTTTTTTTATGAGCGTATGTTTTTCCTCTTGATGAAAATGGTCACGGGCAGCTTCCAAGATTGACAAACATTCACAATTGGAGTCAAGTCTACTCAATTTTCAATCGTTTTGGGTCCCACAAAATGGGCAACGAGATGAAGATTGGACCAGAAAAAAAAAATAAAAAGGGTTAAAGAAATAGCGGACGGCAAATGATATAATTATTATTGTCCGGTTGTCCGAGATAAAAGATGACAAACAGATTAGTGACAGACTACATGTTCACTCGAGTATTTTAATTAACTCCAAGTGTCAAACCATGTGAAGGCTTTGTTAAACCTGGACATCACTAATAATGCAAGAGATATAATAGTAGTTGATAATTGGAACAAAATGAATGAAGTTCCTTTGTTCTTTTCTCTTCAAAATGCCAAATGAGTAAAAGGAAACCAAGCTAAGTAGTCAGTGAAGAAGACTAACATTATAGGGGCTTTTACGTTTAAAAGAAGTAACATGAATTTGCCCAAGACGGTTGAATAATATTAATGTTTCCTTTTAAACCATTTTGCCAAATAACCTCATAAATACTTACTTTACTTGTGTGAATACGCACGGCGCTAACATTATTAAAAAAAAAATTAAAAGAGGCGGTAAATAAAAAAAAATTAATTAAAAAATCGTACCAACATAATTAAAATGTAAGATTTGTCTAGCAATAGTTTGAAATATAATAAAATGTGTATATCATTCGAAAATTGTTTACCTCCATTTTCTTGAGAATTAAGAGCATGCGAAATTCAAAATTAGTGTATTTTTTACGTAGTTTATAAATAATATTATAAAAAATAAATATGTATAAAAAATTTTACTTTTCTTTACAATTCTCTAAGATAAGAAACATCACAACGAAATACGAATTGTGCATGTCTATCTTGTAGATTAAGATGCAGATTGCCGCTGGAATCTCCGATTTGTATATTAACGTTGCACCTGTTTGAGAAGAAAAAGTGTTATACAGTACAAAAAAATACGTTGAAATTAAAGGGACATGAAATTAATTACCTAACAATAGTGCCGACCAAGTCATTACAATGCATACACACTATTTTTGCAAAATAACCTTCACATGGTTGTCCACAAATTTTTGCATAACTCATAGAATATGCTCTTTATGTCAATGCTCTGAATGTAAGCAAGTATTTGAAAATATTTAACCTAGTAAGAATGAAAGAAGATATATGTTATGATTATGAATGGAAGAATTTGTTCAGTAATTAATTAAAACGGAGTAATTTTACTATAGGCATGATTTTGAACTTAGGCGCCGTTGAAGTGTTTGTAGATGGGAATTGTGCATGGCGAGAGTATGATAAGCGTTTTTTTCTTACTGTATTTGGTTTGTGTGGATGACAAATGAGAATAAAATGAGATAGCGGTTTTCAATTTTTGTGAATAATTATGAAAGCATGATACGTCATATATGTAGAATTGTGGGAATTATGGAAATTGTAATTCAAATGGACTCCTTACTTCTTGATATGTGATTTTCATAGCGGTGAATTTGTTATCAGTTAGCGATTTGTAGGGACGGTTATTTTTCGTTGGTTAAGGATAAAGATTACTAAATTAAAAAAAATCTAAAATTATAGTAAAAATAAAGTTTGTTTGTGATTTATAAGCATGATACATAGGGGTAGTTATTATCCGTTAGTTAAGGGTTGAAAGACGGTAGTGTATGTGCTGTGAGTTGTCACTTGTGTATGGTATCGGTATCAGGTATGGGATCAAAATAAAAGCGGTTCGACAATAACTATAACAGCAAAAAATGTAATCCGGAACAGATCAGAGATCAGATGATGATTGGAGTGCTGGCAAGTTAGTGGCGTATGCATGGCGGGCCACCCCACACCTCTTCTCCATAAACTTTAGTAGTACTTATAAGATTAACGAAGAAGCATTAATTATTATTATCATTAGTTTAACAGAATAAACAGCCATATTTCACATGCAAACATGTGGATACGGGTAATAAACTGTTGATGGAAAGATTGGAAGAACCGATTAAAACCGTCGTATAGAGCAAGTGGACTGGAGGCCATGTGAAGCCGCAGCTTCCCTGATCAGCTCCTACCACGGAACTCCATCATCAATCATCCCAGCCATAATAAATATGGAGCAATTATATTATATAGTTTGCAAAGTAGAAATCAAACAATAGGCTCAGTGATAGCCAGGTTTGTGCCCCGCGTGAATGGTCCAGAGATAGCACCTCTCTTCCTGGTGACCACTTGGTCTCAAGATTGAGTCTCTGCTCTGCTGGATTCCTCCGCGCACTTATCGTGCTTGGGTCGGATTGGGGCGCCGACCCCGCGACGCCCCGAGCCACAGGGGATTAATCGGGTTCCGTAAGGATTGATCCGGACACCCTATGTTGACAAAAAAAAAAAAAAAGAAGAAGATAGCCAGGTCTGTACTGTAGAGATTGCACATGTGGCACATGATGTGTGAGTGAGTTGTGGGGCCACCGTCTTCTGTGACACATGGATGGATTGGCTGGCTGGTCTTCACAAATGGAATGGAATGGAGAGTGCTGGATATTTACGGATGATAGGCCTTTAGTGCAATCTGTTTCATGGATAGAACGGGCCGAGAAGGAAGACTGGTTGGGTTTCCACCGTTTTTGGGCCTCCAAGGTGTGACTCTGCAAAAGGAGATATAACAGCAGGCCATGTATTTGACTTTGAAGCCACACATATGCATAGCACCATATATATATTGGATTTGGAGCCCAACTTGTCGCTGCTGCAGCAGAAATATTCACTCTTTTGTTTTTTTTTTTTTTTACTTTCTAAGAAGAATCAAGAAAACCAGTCCGGCTATGAATTAGTAGTAGTAGAAGATGGGACGGGACGGGACGGGACGGGACAAGAAGAGTCAATCCTTTTGCAAGGTGAATGGCTGTCGTCATTACACATCCTGCTACCCACAATCCCGCAAAGAACACTTCCACCTCGAATCACTGAAACTTAAACTTTCCCCTGGCTGCAAATTCTGATACTTTCACTTCCACACGCCCCCCCTCTGTCTCTCTCCCTTACTATCTCTCACAGACACACACACACACACACACACAGAGAGGCTGCGTGAAGAAAGAACGGAAGAAATGGCAACGCTGCGGTCTGTTGCTTTCTGTACAGCAATTTCTCACCACCCTCGCTCTCTTGCAGGTACATCTACTGCTACTACTGCCACCCCTCATTGCTTCCTTCTTGACATGTTTCCCTGCTCTTCTAATCGTGGCTTCTTTGTCATTAAATTTCTACTACTACTACTTTAAGTTCACTCAAATTCTAATCTGTCCCAAGTGTTATGCACAATGGCTCTTGTGCTCAAGTCGAATAGGGTTGCTTTCAAATCAATATCCCAGTTGGGCTTGATCCTTACCACTATGAATTTTAGCTTTGCAAGCATAGCTAACTCAGAAACTGTTTTTGTCCTATTAATTGAATGTCTGTGCAAGTGCGCTGTTTCCTGCTCATAATTCGTATAGAGACAGTGCGATACCATGGCTTCTTAATCGTGCACCAAAATATGACCGCAAGAACTACCTTTTCAAAATTATGTACGTACCTTCGCATTTCTGTTACTCTTCTTACAGACTGGTGACCTTTCCACGAGCTGGGCTAAAATTTGCTTGGCAAAGGTGTTCGTTCCTCTTTCGTCCTAAACTATAGGTGGTAATAGACAACATTTACGGATGAATAATTAATTGAGAATCAGGATTGCAACAGGGAAGAAGATGCTCAATTTATATTCATTCTGCACTTACGACATGATCTTACTACTACTACTTGTCGTGCAGGCTTGCCTTCTGGAGCCATTCAGATTTTACGTTCCCCATTCAATGGTAAACCTTTGCGCATACCTCATTCACGTTTGGCCGCCCCAAGAAAACAGTATCAGTCATCTCGACTCACAATAATGATGATGGCAAAACCCACGATTCAGTTCATACAAGGAACTGATGAACAGACAATACCTGATGTGAAGCTAACGAAATCAAGGGATGGCACAAATGGTGTGGCCATATTCAGATTTGAGGAACCGTCAGTTTTTGACTCCTCTAGTGAGGTTGGTGATATAACCGGATTCTACATGATTGATGAAGAAGGGGTCCTTCAGTCAGTTGATGTTAATGCTAAATTTGTTAACGGGAAGCCTGCAGCTATTGAAGCTAAGTATATCATGCGGACACCAAGAGATTGGGACAGGTTCATGAGATTCATGGAGCGATACGCTAATGCTAACGGACTACAATTCATCAAAAAATGAAGCAATGGCACGCATTCTTTCCTCCTCTCTGTTTCTCTTCAAGTTTGTCTGGCACGTTGGTTTTCTGCACTTAGGTTGATTGAAATTGGAAAATTTGTGTTTTCCATAGTATTTCAAGCAAATGCCTCTCAAATGAGATTTGCATGCGAGTCGAGACAATAGTGCTTGTGTTTCACGTGCTTCTCTTGCCGTTATTTGTTTTATGTAAGAACTAAGAGAAAGTGAACAGGTGATGGATCAAAAAAAGAGAATGGAATCAAATATTGCGATCATTTTTGTCTTGTAGATTGGCAGGCATTCTATTATCCAATTCTGTTTTGCAATTAAATTAGATTATGTAAATTGGATTCTCTAATCTTGTGAGTTGGAGTGCCAGAATTTGCCCGTGGAGCCTAACCTTCAGATTTCTTGAAGGTGCTCCTCTGCTCTGTTTGTTGTGTATGCTTGAATCTGTTGAACGTGTTTGAAATCTAGAATCATTGTGTGTCCAGAGTAGACAGTCTTTAGATGTAAAGCATGCTCTAATTAGTGAAATGCTGAAATTTCCCTTTGTAAAAGATGCAAAGAAAAGAAATTTAAAATATAGAAAAGATTGACGGACGTGACTCCTCTTGTCATCGTCCCAGACGAAATTCCTAAGAAATGTGAAGGTGAAATACTACTGGCAGTAGTATTGCCGCTTAAACAAACTTGTTTTTCTTCACTTTGAAGCCCAAGTCACTGAAATGGGACTTCTAACCCTGTTGGATCTCTGTCTGCTGTTGAACCAAGTCAAACTCCCTTGAGCAAAATTCGTCCCCTCGCTTCCATTTCTCCTCCTCGACATAAGCCAAACTCTGTAACTCATCGTTTGATTTGTGTGTGTAAATGTCAGCTGTCGTGGCTTAACCCTCACCTTGACACCGTCCGGCGGCATCACATCAACTGAGAAAACCGTATTAGGATTACCAACATTTGTGAGTTTCCTCTTAATCATTTTACCAGTCATTCTTGGCCCGAACATGACAGATATAGTGGGGTAATTGAGGCTAAAACCCCTATTCTTCTGCACAATCTCATGGCAACTAACATTCCTGTGAGTAATGCTGAAAACTTCAGATCTTGTGTATCCAAGACTGCAGAGGTGAATTACGTACTCCATGGGCTGGATTTCATATACCAACCCTGGATTGATGGCTCTAATTGGATTTACATGTCCAGCTCCAGTCGCGAAAAGTCCTGCAGGATGGTCTCCATCCATTATCGGTTTCCCTAGATGGTCAGTTACATCAGCTGTTGTCATAAGCGCGGACTTGATTGCTGCTGGAGACCATTGTGGGTGAGCAGAATGGATGAGAGCAGTAATTCCACTGACGTGTGGACAAGACATGGAAGTGCCAGACATTAGTGTGAAGTTCACTCGTCTATTGTCTTCTGGAAGGCCGCTGGGGCCTAAATTCTGCGGCCAAGCAGCAATGATGTTAACCCCTGGAGCAATAACATCAGGTTTGAGAATTGAAGGATCACTAAAACTCGGTCCCCGGGATGAAAATTGTGCCACTGCAGGTGCTCTAGACTTCCCAATTACTGTTCCTCCGAATATAATTCGTGCCATCGGACTCCTTGTGGAGTTTATGTAGCTTTTCAGCAGAACTGATTCATCAAAACCAATTAATGTGGCTGGAAGGACATGGACATCAACAGAATCTTCCTCAAGATTTATTGCCGTATTTGTTAAGATCATTGCAGCCCCACCAGCCTTCTTCACAACCTGACCTTTCTCCGCCCTCCCATTGACACCTCGATCACAAACTACCATTTTGCCACGAACCTTTGCGGTAGGAAGAGAGCCTTCCAAACAGAATTCGCTTCCCTTCTGCCCTCCTGTTGTTATGTAGACTACCTCAAGTTTTCTCTCAGCGTTTGGAATTCCTTTTCCAGGGTATACGGATTCCCCATAGAGAAATTTCCCGTTACCTAGCTGAACTATAGCCGGAAATCTTCGATCAAGCGTACTAGCACCAATAGTTGCAATCCAAGGAGCTTCATTAGCAACCGAGCTTTGGATTGGACCGTTGTTTCCTGCAGCACATACAACTGATATCCCGCGCTCCATAGCCCGGAAGCTGCCAATGGCAATGGTATTCTCATAAAGCGGAACAGGGAAGCCACCAAGTGAAAGAGAGAGTATATCCACTCCATCTCTGATCGCTACGTCCATTGCTGCTAGGATGTCAGAGCTGTAACAGCCACTGAACCAGCAAACTTTATATACAGCAATGTGCGCCCCTGGAGCCATCCCTCGAGCCTCTCCTGCCCCGTTGCCCAGAACATTAGCCATTTGAACTGGGGTTCCAGCAGCAGTCGATGCTGTATGGGTGCCATGACCCTGGCCGTCCCTCGGTGACACATATTCAACGGCAACATCTGTTGACAAGGACTTGGAAGCCGCACGGTAACCTTTAGTGAAAAATCGGGCGCCAATAAGTTTGCGATTACAGCTCGAAGAATTAAAGTCTTCTCCTTGCTGGCAAATTCCTCTCCATTTTTTAGGCACAGGGGGCATGCCATCATCACTAAAACTCGGACTCTCGGGCCAAATTCCCGTGTCGAGCACTCCAATTATTGCTCCCCTGCCAAATCCAGACTTGAGAATAGCACCAATGGCATTCCCGTTCGCTGTCGGATTGAGTCCTAAGAACTTGTAAGAGTACGTGGTTTGGAGCTCAATTCTCCTCTCAGGTCTGACTGCTATTACTTCTGGGGACCGCTGCAGAGTCTGAAGCTCAAGCTTGGACAGCCGAGCTGCAAAGCCTTCCATGGCTGAGCGGTAAGAGTACAGGAGGCGAGAGGCGGAGTCTTCTTCAGATGAAATGGCTTTGTGAATGAAGGACAAGTGCCAATGAAACTTGGAGCTGAAGGAAGGTCTGGTAATTCCATTGGGATGGAGTTGAACAATGTAGGTTTCAAGATGATCAGCTTGTAGGAAACCGGAGTAAAAGGAGAAGATGCAGAGAAAGAAAAGCTGGAGTTGGGCGGCCATGGCAAATGAAGCAAATGCTTGATGATTCCGGGTTGCTTGATGTCGTGCATGGTTCTGGGGGGTATTTGAAGGTGGTGCGAAGAAAAGCCAAAACTGGGATTTGGAGGCATGTCTGAATGTCTGAAGCAGAAGGGAAAGAAGAAACTCGTGAAATTTAAGAGCTCTGAATCACGAGTATCCCTTGTTGAGAGAGAATCCTGGCTCCTGGCTCCTGCTTAATTCCCCTTTTACTTGGAGGAGCTGCTCAACTCGAGCGTGTTTCAATTTTCACGGGATGTTTCTGCCGGAGTATATATAATTTGACTGTAGCTCAATTCTCAACCAAAAAACCCAACACAAAAGAAAAAAAAAAAACCTTTGTGTAAATACTAGCAGTACTAGATAGATAGCCGTTGGACATTAGAATTGAAATTGTTTATGAATCTTTGTCTTCTCAATTGGACCACAAAGCCTCGTCAGAATATTCTTCAATTCTATGACCAAAAAATATATATAAAATAATAATAATAAAGGATTGCCGTTTGTTTCTTCACTCGTCGAGTAGCATTTATAATTGAGCAGTGCTATGCATGGCTCCCATTGCACGTGGCGCTTGCGCTCCCCCACCCAGCCCCACCGTGGACTGCTTCTAAGGTTGTCAAAGACTCGTTTCGCTAGGCCGCACTTCGTTGTGAACTGGGCCGGGTCAGTCCGAACCCAATCTATTTGGTGTGAATAAAAAATAATAAAAAAGAACTTGTCAAACTTTATATATAGTTGGATGGGACAGAGTTTGAATCTAAAAAATATTAAATTTGCATTCAATTAAATGTGAGCTGAGTTTGGATTTTGCCAAGCTCACGTTTGATTAAGGTATGGTTATTATATATGTGTGTGTGTATATATATATAATAATACATAATCATATTACAACATATAATATTAATTATTTATATATAATTTATAATAATTCATAAATATTAAACACGCATTATATGTCATATAATGATGCATTTTACTGTGAGTTTTGGTTGATTCTGATTTTAACTTGAATGAAACTCATATTATAAAAATGTTAATCGAATCTGACTCTTATTCTAATTTGGGTCCCAACTCAAAAGCTCTATTTATTTTTGTGAGTCGAGTTTGGACTTACCAAAGTCATCGAGAGTCTCGACTTACCAAAACCATGCTCGTAGAACCCTATCGACAGCCCTTGCTCCGTGAGGTTGCCGCCAACCTTCATTGGAGGCAGAATATATGGTATGAGAAACTAAATGGAATGTTTTAACTTTAGACGCTAATTATTCACATTTTCCCTTAGATACACTAGCGAAATTTTGTGCATATAATGCATATAAAATTGAAGGAAATGATGATGTCTCGTACATGTAGACCCGTCGACATGCGTAGCCTTTCCCTCTTTTGTCTTTCGTTGGAGGGTTCTGAATGTTGTTGTTAAACTTGGAAGGTCACAAACGGAATTGCAAGCGGCTAAGTAGACAAACCCAAGGCCCATCAAAGGAGCTGTGATGTGAAATGTCATATTCCATTTGAACGGAGTATCAATTTTCAGCCGCCCCAAACCAAAGTCACAAATGGGGGGTTAAACTGAACATCGCATAGAAAGACCAAGAGGTCACAAATGGAATTGTAAGGGGCTGGCGAATTAACACAAAAGTAATCATTTGCCAAGATGTTTCAGGGTCTTAATCATTTGCCAGGATTTCCGAGAAAGTAACCCAAAAGTAAAAGCTAGGATAAAAAAGCCAATTTAAATGCATCGGGATATGCACCATCCATATTAGAAGGAAAAGCAGAAGGAACTCTTTTTCCTCGAGTCAAGGATCAACAACACGCACAGTTAGATTAAACAATCAGCGAAACTGAAAAAACGATCCAAACAGACAATCTAACAATCTAAGGGAACCCCCAAAGCAACGGATTCAGCCCATTGGTAACTAAAGCAGAAGGAACTCAATTTGTCATTCTCATGCCATAATATCTCGTTGCCATTTTATTACTCTAGAAGGAAGATTAGAATAACATCATCCGTATCCATACTTCATAACAAAGAATGACAGGAAAACTGATAACTATCAAGGGCAAACTACAAAATACCTATTCACTGCAGAAGCAGAAATTTACCAGTGTCTCTATCCTTGTGAGCTTTTCCGTTTACAACCAGGATCCTGGAATGGGTTCCCAACAAAATTTTCATACCTTCCAACCGGACCTCCAATTAATCACGGCATCACTTCATCTGCAGCCAGTGTGTCCAGAGATTGCTGAAAATAAGCAAATTCTTCCTCCCCCTGATGATCACTGTTGCCTTTGCTCGATCTTCCATGAATTTTTAGCTGCCTCTGCTGATGATCCACTGGAATCTTCCTCACCCTTCTTTTGTTTCTCGAAGAATGGATCCCATTCATGAGGCCCCAAATCAACCGGCCCCTCATCTGACAAAGCATATTTCCAACTAAGTTCCTCAATGAAGTTATCATCTGTGCGGCCGTCAATTATGTCTCTCCTCAACTTGGTAACCCTACGAATAACTGCCTCCACAGCTACATCAAAAGCATCTTTGAGAGTTTCCAACTTAGACCGAGGATCAGCATATATTATCCTGGGTATAAGTTTAATAACCTCCTCCCTCATTGCCTTTGCTTGCTCCAAAGATATTTGACTAAGCCATTGCTCTATGTTGACAATATTCTTACGAACATCTTTCTCTGGAATTAGCACGGAATATGTTGAAATATTTTTTGGAAGGTGCCAGGTGTACTGAGTGTATGCAGAAGCAGGATGGAAAAAGACGGGTATGCAACCTGCCAAAATTGAGTCAAAGGCTGATCTTCTGGTATACGAGTCACCTTGAGGCTGTAGGCAGAAATGGGAATTCTGAAACATCTGCATTATACTGCTTGGCGAATGACACTTGCTCTCACCCAAATCACATTCCAGTAGCTTACACACCTTAGATTTCTTGCACTGATCAATGATCTGATCCCTAATTGATTTGGGATCCCCTGGACGGCGAGCCCCTGCAAAACAGAAAAGCCACTTCCGCTCCGACTTTCTCATACGATCTTGCCAAATGAACACGTCAGCATCCTTTGCTGGATGAAAGTAGGTCGGATACGGGATACCAAAATCATTTGCATTCCATGGGCTTGATTCCACCACAAGCATGGACATATTTTTGGCAGCTGGTAGGAAAAGAAGCTTGTTACCCCAATCTGAGTCTTGATCAGTTTGTCTCCTAAAATCCCAAGTTATCCTCCCTGCAACAAGGAAATGATCCTTTCCTCCCATGATACTCCACTCGGGCTTCTTGGTCAACCAATCAATCAGAGCAAGAGAAGCAGCATCCCTCATCGAAGTGTTGTAGCCCCATAGATACCGAGCTATATCAAACCCAGCATAGAAGGGTACAAAAATGGCTGCAGCAAGTGAAGAATCCTGAGTCAAGCACTCATACTGCTTCATCCTGTTATTGAAGATCACATCCACAGCAAATTGATTAGTTGCATACCACCCCGTATTCGAGAACACCCCTTCAGCGTTCTCAAGTGGGGGGCCAAGTCCAGCATTGCTAGTAAACTTGCACATGTTGGTCCATAGACTAAGAGTCTTACACTCCTTGAGCATATCCTCATTGAACCTCGGGGGAAGATCATGTATATAAATATATCTCCCACCACATGGATCACTCTTATTGTTGACAGTTCTTAAAGCCCTCATAAATGGGTAGTTCTCCACCTTCTGACCAGTAGAAACATCAGTCCTCCGCTGAGTAACGGATTGCGGAAGGGAGTTGCTTGAACTATTATTACCTAATGCAGGACGATGTTCTCGAGATTTTGGAGGACTAGTAGTGAGTGGAGGACTCTGAATTTGTTGGGGTAAGACAGTATTCTTATTGCTCGGTTGAGCGTTTAAAGAAGTAGGGTTCAGATCTTGGGTGGATTGATCAACAACACTACTGCCTCCAAGAACTACAAAGTGGAAATACAGTAATGCCAACCAGAAGAAGGCAGCTAATGAAGCTAGAAGACAGAGCCGGGACTGCTGACTCTTCCCTTGCCCCTTCTCCATAGGATCTTCCAAAGAAGGTGTCGCCGCCGGGCGGCGTCTCATCAGACTAAAATCAATCACAAATACATCAACAACGAAACCCCCCTATCTTCCACAACCCCCCCCCGGCGGGGCCCCGCACACAAACCTTCCCCTCCCTAAGCACCTGAGAAAAAAAAAAGTGCAGCCTTTGCCCAATTCACCAACTGACGAACATCAAATTCGTCAAATGACACAACAAAAGACCTAATATTTTATTGTCTCATATTTTGAATATCAACTTCACTTAAACCAAGAATTATTGCAGAAATAGCTCATGAACCCATGAATATGAGCAGGAGGAGGAGAAAGGGCAGAACTGAGGCAATTGGATGAGTGAGTTCTGCGAGTAGAACCCGTGTGTCTGTGGGAAAAAAGAAAAAAAATTGAGCGGGCACGGATTACTAGGAATCAAAACCGAATTAGCTGAGATCTTTCAGGAACCAACTACGAGCAGATTAAGCTCTAAAATAAGTAGTATATGGATAAACATGAATGACTAAATACGCAAGATTTAACATAAATTTGAGATCTTGGAAGCAGAAATGGAATGCTTAAATGTGAACTTACAGTTACAGGCACAGCACACAGTCGTAGCGAGAGAGAGAGAGAGAGAGCAAAAAGAAAGAACCCGAGCCAAGATTAGAATGAGAATTTTCCCATAATTGATTATCTTGAGCGCCTTTCCCTTTAGTAATTTTTTTTTTAAATGGAGACCAGGACCAGGAGCTGAGGAGGCGCACATGAGATATCGAGGATGGCGTAGGTTAGAACGGTGCGCCGGGGTTGATAAAATTCTTTCATTCGGGAGCTTGGTCTGTCGGTAGCCGTGCAAATGCGACACGTGGAGGCTACAGCAATTATGTCCAAAGTCGGGCATTTCATATAATAAAGTCATAAACTAGTACCATTATCGTTCAATCGAGGAAGGAGTGGGGGAGTCGTCGGTCGATCATTATTATATCGTCGATCAGAATTTGGGGCGGGCCGTCCCGCGTACTACTCAGTTGCTGCTGGAATTTTATTATTGTACTACACTATTTTTATTATTGTAGAAATGCCAGTAAGCAAACTACGACGCATTTTACGGTTTCCGATACCCAAGACGACTCGAGTTAATGCCTTCTCTATAGAGACACTTCCTTTTCTTTAAATATTGTTATAAATAGTAACCTAAACTTTAATTATTTACTTTCTCTATAGATGAAAAATGTGTTATTGGACTTCTAATGTACGTACACAGCTAGTTGCAAAAATATTTGTGTGGCTACAGTATGTACTCTCCGTGTTTTAAGTGGAGATGAGCAATAGTTTGAAGAACCTTTGAATGGTATATTTTCTGAGTGTGTGTATATACAATTTTTTACTGTAATTTAGTGTATAATTTAATAAAGAAAAAAATTGTATATTTGAGTGTTGGATTTTAGTTTTTCTTTTTTCCTCCTTTTCTTTGCTCTCTTCTTCTTTTTTTATGATACCGTTGATCCTCCTCCTTCACTATCGCTAGTGCTGAACGTAATCTCCACCGTTGCTGTCAGCTCACCCTTCCCTCTTTTTCTTTTTTCTCCTTTCTTTCTCTCTTTACATTCCTCTCCCCCTCGCTCATTCATGATTCTTCTTCTCCCTCCCTCGCTCTCTTCTTTCCCTTCACCCCGCCACCTCTTCTCTATCATCTCTCTGGCTCCGTCCCCTCCCTCTCGTCTATCCCTCTCCTAGAGGGGAAAAAGGGGTGCCAAGAGAGTGGGGGTAAATTAGAGTAGAAGAATGAGATAGAAAAGATGAAAAGAAAGGCAAGGAAGAGGTAGAGGTGAACTGAAATGGAATGGTAGTGATAAAAAATTGAAATAGATGCTTTTTTTTTTTTCAGTGTTTTGAGGTATGTATTTTAAAATTTTTATGGTATTTTTAGAGGCTTGCATAGATAAATTTTAGCCCCAGCATATTTTTCCCCTAAAAAGTCGTGGAGGAAAATCGAAGGACCGGATGTTCCAGATCAGGCCATACCTTGCCTTGTTCTGGCCATCCAATCCAAAATGGAGATCCCGTCGTTTCAAGAAATTAGTTGTCGTCAGTAAAATGTAAATGGCGTGATTCGATCTAATGTCGTTCGTGTTAGTCTTTTCTTTCTTCCAAAAAAAATTAGTGAGTAGCATATAAATACTCCTACTTAATGTAATTAATTCACGGGACAAGGTCTCGTGGACTAAACAAATTGCAAGGTCAAGTGTCTGTCCATTCAAGAATCTTGTCATCCGGCCCGGAAGTTGGGATCTAAGTGTCATCGTCAATAAGCAACACGACACATGTTTCCTTGGCACGCCACATACAATACAATGACACAAAAAGGAGGCCGGACAGACAGCCGATCGCCATCTCGGCTGTGACCCTAACCTAAACAAGATCGAAGTTTATCAAAGAGCAAATTTTTACATTCTTCTTTTTTGGTGATCATGCATATCTTTTAAATTCATATGCATTAAATTGTTATCGTATATTTTTTTTACTAAAATTTGAAAAATAGCAATTCAAATGGAAAAATTTTTACCAAAATCCCGATTCATTCAACATAAAAAGAGTTAGAAATAGCACTCCTGTATGATGAGGATAACAAGAGTTTATCCTTAGATACCGCTTGCTAATGCTGTGGTGGTAGAGATCTGAGAGAAAGCAGGAAAGAGCGACAGCTAGGGCAGTTGATCTGTTCAATGATCAAACAACAGTTGGACCCCTACATACCCTTGTCAGCTGTCACAAACACACAGTTGAAGATGCGGACAAGGTTTCACGTAACTATTAGGATAAACACAGCTAATATTTAACATCACTTGCCACGTTCAGAATTTCCCATGGGAATTTTCACCAAGTTGGATGCAAACTGATTGGCAACCTGAAAACCGAAATCAGCCGGCCGGTGGTGGGGCAGGGGCAACTCATGCCTCTCTCTCTCTATCTCTCTCCTCTTATATGTGTGTACATGTGTATACATACATTATATGCATATAGTATATTGATGTGAAGGAAGGATTACCTGTACTGGAAATGGAAGATCAAGTTCCACTCTGCCAGCAAAGAACCCCAAAACATTAAAAAAAAAAAAAAAAAAAAAAAAAGATTGAACATTGTCGTTGCATGTTACATGACTGAACAAAATAGAATGGCTGCAAGGAGTGCAACTAAAATGATCCAACCAAGCCCTTGAGCTAATTCACTCGTCTTCTTTTTGCTTGATTTCTGAAACCCTCTGTCCAATTTCAATCCCTTCAGGGATAAGCAAACACCAGCATTTCCTTGTTTCACCTCGCTACCCACCAGGATGGAGTTGTTGACTCCCTGTACGTTGTTGCTTATATAGATGTTTATGCTGCAACAATCTCCGCAGCATCCTTGGCGTGCGATCGTGGTTGCTCCGGCATTTCTTCCTTCCAGTTTGACGCCTTCGAAGCACCCGTCGGCGCCTTGTCGGAACATGAGATGACCGCCTAAATTCAGAAGACCGGCTTCTTCTTCTCGTTTGCGTTTGAAGAAAGTTGATGAAATTAGCTCTGCCACCTCTTCCGCCGGCTGACGAAGTTTTTCACGGCCACACTTTTCTGAAACTTGGGCAGTTTTTTACTTGTTTTAAAGAATCGGATGGCACATTCCATGCTGTAACCACAAGGAAACAAGATGCTCCCCGGGAATATCTTAGCTTACAATCAAAATGGCACTTTTCGAATCTCTCGCGCACTTTCAGTTCAGCATCGTACTGACGCTTTCTAGCGTACCTACACTCCAGTTTTTATTTTTAAATTTTTTTTCTAACAAGAATGCTCCAGTTTTTACACGGATCAAAGAAAGCAAGAAAAAAGAAATGTGCAAAGTTACGGATGGAGAGAGGATGCGGACCGAAGAACTGAGGAACGGACGAAGAGTCACAGTGAATGGGGGCAACGATAAAAACGGAGGAAGTATGCAGAGCTCGCACGGCACGACAGTGGGTGGGGACGGTTTTCGACTTTGTTTCTGTTTCTTTCAGCCGCGTGGAGGAAAGACAAAAAGAGGAAGAAGGGGAATTACGTGACCATTTTGCTTATGACAATTGTGTGTAATCCCCGACATTGCCACAACAAACAAAAATCTAGCTTATTCCCAAACTTGGAATTTAACGAGACATCCCCTAGCAAGTGCAATGCAGAATTATTTACCCAACACATGCAGCTGGCGCTTTCCATTCAAACTGTCAAAAATTTGTCAATTATAGAAGCTGCACTGCATTACACCAGTTGCATCCAAACTCCGGACGACACCAATTGGCAGTGTTAACTGGCAGCGGAATGAGAAGCACTCGTAATCTACCAACAAAAAGATCTATGTTTCGTTTTTCGTTTTTAAGGTCTTCATGGTAGCCTGGGGTTGAGAAATTCTTTTTATTCCAATACAAATGGCTAATTAGTGTCGGGTAAGCATAGCCAAAAAGCAACATTGACCAACACAAAAAACACAGTCCTTCCTTTTTACCAAACAATGTAGTACAACCAGGCACAGAAAAGCACCAGCCTCATTTTTAACAACTGAAAAAGTCGCACCATCTCTTTTGGAATCCGCTAATTCTACCGAATCTGTCTCAGCTTAAACTAATGTCTCTTGAAAACCTTCTGTCCAAAGCTAAATTGATCAGTTTCTGAACTGCTACATCAAATGGACCAGCAGAACAGTGTGTTATTAACCTGGTTATCAAAAACTGCAGAGAGTTTCTTCATCAAAAGTACTCATTCCTTCATCAGTTGCTCAAGGAATGAAGGCCAAATTTACCGATCCCACACCTTACAACAGGCTGGTATAAGATTAAACAATAAGATCCAACAATCCTTACGGCCAAGATTCAGGAGATACTTTTTCACTGACTGTCGAACCATATTTTGGACCGCCTTTTCGATATTGTATAAGAAACTCAACGGGATACCCCTTCAACTTATGTGGTGCAATCCCAAGATCATCAAAAGTTAAAGCTGCAAAACCACGAGGAACTCACAGTAGTGAATACATAGAATACACTTGAAAATGTGAACACTCCCGTCAAAAAAGTGAGAAACAAGAAAGATCAATGAATTCACAACATACCATCTTTTGACACTAAAGTATCAGTGGTAAGGGCTTCAATCGCGTCCAAATTAAATATGCTAGGAGTGGGCATTGGAAATGGAACTTTCTTCAGCAATACTTCTCGAGGCATTGCAATTGCCTAACATCATACAAGCCAGCCATATGGTTAGAAAATAGCTGATCAACTTAACCAGGTGAATAGCAATATGTCCACTTTATAGATAGTACAGCATAAACACAGCCAACCACTATCAAGTGCAAGATGCATGATTCCAAAGTCGAAGTATGGAAGCCCATAAAGCTTCGCTTAAAACCTTAAGCAATATTCCCTATTGCCTTCTAACCGTATTATATCCCTACTTCTGACAAAAGAATTGTGTTCAAGTGGAAATTGAAAAAGGCCAAACATCACCAATGGCCAGACTCAAAATGAAAAAGAAACAGAAAAAGAAAAGGCTATCTAGCAAAAAATTGGTTAATAAACTGAAACATTTCATGCATCATTTGAAATCCAAGAACTGAAAGCAGACAGCTATAGCAGCAAAAAGACAGTGGTATATAACTTGCCTTAGCAACAGGGAAAGGAATCTTCACATAGCGAGGCCATTCGCGAATCACGTCAAACATAAGCTCTGCCTGGAGACACATGAAAGTTCAGCAAAACTCCACTACCCGGAGACTGAATCTTTCAGAGAAAAAATACACAAGAAGACAATGGTCAATCAAACAAGGAGAGAGGGATTGGATGCCTACCAATTCATGGACAGTGAAAATCTCTGGT